AACACACACACACACACACATACACACACATCCACACACATATTTATTTTCATTTATTTATATATCTATGATATATGAGGGTAGCTTGGTGAGTGGGTGTGAGTGCAACAATCATTTGTTTGTTTCTATTGAAAGTTTTGCCAGACAACAAAGTAAAGCGAATATTACAATTCTCAGATGTAACTTTTAAGTCTAACAGAAACTCCGCTTTAGTAATCTACTGTATTTCTTACGTAGAGAGCATTTGATTTCAATGACCTCGGCAGATGAAGAGATAGTGTGTCAGCACTATGCCCAACCGCCTTTGTTTCCATGTCGTAAGATAGGTACCCTTCAGAGCTGGGTGGACTCAAGGACGTTCCAATGATTTGAACTCTCGGGTTAGCAGTCAAGCTCTCTAACGCTAGGCCACGCCGCCCCATATTTGTTACGTATATTAATCAATATTCAACCTCGCTGAAATCCTGCATATAAATTAAAACTGTTGTATAAATGTACTTTTTAGCAAAGCCGTCGCCAATCGTGTCATACCAAATAAATTATAAATGTTGGACAACACTAACCCTATATAAACAAAATGATGCAGCGAACACAGTGGAACGCGGTACGGCTAAACCAAATGATGTGTCTAACTGGTTATGACAGCCGACTGGCCAATAGATCGATCTTCCTACAGCGCCCCAATCAACCTGTCAATCAGTGTAAGGGAGATAACTTTGTTTTATAACACAGTTACATCGCACACTGTGATAAACAAGTGAAGGGAGATAACTTTGTTTTACAACAGAGTTACATCACACCGTGATAAACAAGTGAAGGGAGATAACTTTGTTTTACAACAGAGTTACATCACACCGTGATAAACATGTGATGGGAGATAACTTTGTTTTACAACAGAGTTACATCGCACACCGAGATAAACAAGTGATGGGAGATAACTTTGTTTTACAACAGGTACCTCGCACACCGAGATAAACAATTGAAGGGAGATAACTTTGTTTTACAACACAGTTACATCACACACCGAGAAAAACAAAAGATCGGACACAACAGCCAAGTAACCCAAAGTTGGGAGGGGGGTAAAATGAAAGAAATATTGAAATTATTTTAGAAATTTCACGGGCATTGATCGTTAATATAAAACTAACACAAATGCATGTCTTTCCAACTTAGATAACTCGACCTTGCTATATCCAGCTTAATATTTAGTTTTCCTGGGGTAGGGAGGCTAAAATAAGTCCAATACTTGTCTGGTAGATAGAACACTTTCTCAAAAAAAAATATCAAGAATAGTCAGTTACATTAAATAACAGCAAATCTGTTTCATCAGCCCCGGAGTACTAACACTACACGCCATTTTAGATGACACTTTATACGCTCTCAAACGTTTTATGAATAACCACTTTATTTCTTCCACTTTTAATGACTGATATACCACCTTAAAATGGTTACTAACTAGATTTAAATGCGTATATAAAATGCACCCCCTCAGTCCATAGTATCCCACCCCCCCCCCCCCACAATTCCCTTTACGCACCATCATCTCAAACCGCCCCTCCCTACACCCCCCCCCCCCCCCACCCACGATACAGCGACAACCTAAAGACATTAACAAGCGTTAACGCAGAAGGCCTTCATTAAAAAAAAACATTCTCAATTTCCTTGTAAATTTAATCATGGACGAGAACAAAATTGCTCGATTAACGTGTAACTCTCTAGTGTAACATCCAACATTTTGTAACTTGGTCATTCAGCCAACTATAACATGGCATCTCTGGTTGTTCTTTTTTGTACAGTAACAATCTGGAACCAGTGTAATATAACACTACAATAGCTTGTAACTTGGTCCTTCAGTCCAACTATAACACAACAATCGCTGGAATATCTCGTTGCTATTTCTTTTTACAATAACAATATTGAGCCAGTTATATAACACAACAATAGTTTGCAACTTTTGTTGTTTTTTTTTTTTTTTTTTTTTTTTGTATACCGTAAATATAGTGTAAAACCTGTGTACAATTAACACAAGACAGGAATGTAACTTTCGTTGTTTTTTTTTTTTTTTAACACAGTAAGTCTAGTCAGCTGTGCATAGTACTGACCACACTATACCTTCATATGCCGAGGTAACAAAAATTTGCCCCGTAGACCGACGGTTCATATAGCTAAATTTAACAGTGAAATTTAACTCAACAATCGCTTGCACCTTGTGTCATGGTTGTTGTTTTACTGGAAGAGAGATTAAGAGAGTGTAACAGCGGTGTAAGAGAGGACATAAACAAATGTTTTCACCTGCGTACATGCAGGTAAAGCTCGGTGCAAGCCAGGTGTAAAATGTGGAATGCTTGCGCGTGCGAGAGATGGCATTATGGGAGTGTGAGTCGGGATTACAGCTCGGCGTGAGTACATGGTCAAAGAGGATCGGTGATCCAGGTTGGCGGTGTGTGTGTGTGTGTGTATGGTGTGTGGGGGAGTGGGGGTGGGGGTGATCAAGGACATCGGGTGCTGAAGTGGACGTGTCACGTGGTATTGATTTACAGGTAGGTGTTGATGCAGGTCAGGTGAAGAAGAGGTGCTAGAATCAAAGTAGGTGTGTCTAAATAGGTGAGACTGTTGAACAGGTGTGATATACCTACACATGGGGACTTTGATTGTCAGGTGGTGTAGTGTGGTGTGGTGATGTTAAGATAATTTTAGGGTTGTGAGAGGATGTTTTATTGTGTGAGTTGTCGTGTATTTTAGCGTCAGTGTGTGTGTTATGATGTTATTGGAATGTGGTGTTGTGGGAGTTAGAGTGTGAGGGGTGTGTATGTAATGAGGGGCGTGATATTACTGGTTTGTTATGAGTTTTATTTAACACTCAAAGAAAGTAAAAATGTATGATTTATTATGAAACAAATTTACGAAAAGCGAAGCCTAGAAAACACAACAAAACGAAACAAAACAAAACTTAAAAACAATAACCAGCGGAGTTTGTACCACCCCCCGCCCCCGCGAGAAAAAAGTCTGAAAGAAACACTGCAAACTGCGAACAAACTGTAATACAGTAATACGCAACCAAAAAATCCTGATAAAATAATGTTATTCACGTATTTTTAAAGAAGTTTTTATTTACAACCTAACTAAGCCGACACTTTCTGTAGCTCGGCCATTGCTGATCAGAAGACGCCTTCAAATTATCTGCCCCTGTCTGTCACTTGTCAAAACTACTGGCATCCGGTCGGTCACGTGACACAGCCTCGCTCTGGATGTGATCGTCTGCTAGACGAAGAAAACTCAATAAACGCAGAGATAGCTCACGACGAAAGATCTACGGCTCGGATCTAGATTGATATTTTTTGGAACATCCGCCTGACGTCACTTCCTTGTTTTTCTCGCGGGGCGAGTGTTTATGGGAAGGTTTGTTTTGATACCTGGCAAGGTGTGGGGCACCTGCAGGATGGTGCAGGTGGTTCCATTCACTGACAGGTACCAGATGGTGTTGTTTGTTTTTTTAGTAAATAATAAATTGTTTCCTTTAAAATATTAGGAAAGTTTTTTGAAAAACTGTCCCGAAAGCAACATTATTATTTTGATACCCACTTTTGATAAAACTATAAGTGATATAAAGGCTATATATATATATATATATATATATATATATATATATATATATATATATATATATATATATATATATATATATATATGTATATATATACATATATATATATACATATATATACATATATATATATATATATATATGTATATATATATGTATATATATACATATATGCATATATATATGTATATATATACATATACGTATATATATATATATATATATATATATATATATATATATATATATATATATATATATATATATATATATATATATATATATATATGTATATATATATATATATATATACATATATATATATATATATATATATATATATATACATATATATACATATATATATATATATACATATATATACATATATATATATATATATATACATATATATATATATACATATATATACATATATATATATATATATATATATATATATATATACATATATATATATATATATATATACATATATATACATATATATATATATATATATATACATATATATATATATATATGTATATATATATATATATATATATATATATATATATATATTGATTTCGACACATAGCTCCCTAATAGCTGAATCCCAACTACGGCCTTATAACATTCAAATTACCTCGCTGGTATGCACAAATCAGTAGTTTTTATGCTTTAGTATGCCCTTTCCATATTTGTTTATGACTGACGACAAATGGATTATTTGGCTGTTAACACCACAATATGACCCATGATCTGTTCACGTCACAGCTATAGCACTATTTCTTAAGATCATCCCGTATAGCCTTAAACTAACTCAAGCACCATAATGATCAACTGCTTCGAGTTTACTGTAATACTTTAAAAAAGAAATCGCGTTCATCTTGTTTAGTTTGAACACAGTAAACATTTGTCAACTTATATTTGGTTATACCAAAAAAATCAAAAGCAGTTATCAGATCAGTAAACTTGATACAGTTTGTACATAAGGTCTACGTGTTTATTAGAGATATGTTGAAGATACAACTCCAAATTTTTATCGAGTGTATCTTATTAGGGTTATTATAAACTTGTAACACTCGCTGATCGAGTGAATTATTTATTTAGACTCGTACAACATAGTTACATTGTTACATTTATATCAATTTCCGTATGAGATCTACTTGTTTGTATACATATGCATAATGCACGATTATAGCAGACAACGTTTTAAAATTCAAGTTTACTTTGTATACATTTGTTTTAAAATACGTCCTGTAAACATATCAAGTTACACTCCCCGCAACAAGTACAGCCGCACTCTACTTTAAGGGGCAGCAACTCCCGTGTACCAGCAGCAGAAGTGGAGAAGACGTAAAGCAGACGGCTGGTGAAAAACGGGACTCACCTGCGCAGACGTAGATGTGCTCCCCCCTCTCCCCCTCCTTGATGATGTAACAGTTTTTGGCCACCCTCTTCTCGTACATGCAGTCGATGACCTCCCTCAGCTGAGTCACGGCTAGAACTTTGATGAACTCGTTGCTCATTAGCGCGTCCTTAATTAGCTGCTTAGACCTGCAAGAGAAGGAGGATGTGGTTGAGTTAGGCCTGAGTGATGCATATAAAAAATAATGTGAAGGGTCATTTAAGAGAAACACATGAAAATAAATTTCAAAGGCCATCTAAACGAAATTTTAAAAAAAATATTGATAAATGGCTTTTTAAGTCCATCTAAAACAAGAAAATAAATAAACAAATAGCTTAAAATAATCGAAAACTAGAACAAAAATGAAAAAAAAAAACCCAATATTTTACAAAGCCACAAACTAAAAAAATTACCTATATTTATGACCTTAACAAAAAATCAATTGCTTTTATTTCATAACATAAAACATTATTTTTTGTTAATGTCAGTATAAAGACGAACCTAATTCGTTAACAAGGTAAGATTATTTTACTTTCATGTTCTTAGGTCTGGTATAAAAAAATAAAATGTTTGTGGCGTTTTATCAGGACAGCTCAAAATAACTCACAATTTTTATTTACTTTAAGCACAAATCCCTATTTCAATAAAGTCACTCTTAAAATAAATCTCTCGCTCTCTCTCCAATGACAAACGTAATGAAGCGATTCTAAAACTAAAAAGAAAACAAACATCGGAAATTCCCACTTTCCCGAGAATTAAATAAATTATATTTTTTTTTAATAAAATCACCCGCTGACACATCCAATTATATTTATTTTCCATCACAAAATTGAAAAACGAGGACATTTGTATTTAAGTTTACAAGTGGATCCTAATCGCATTACACTATTACCAAAGAATATAGGGCTGGTAAGTAGGTCAATAAACAGTTCTAAGGCTCATGCAGGTTTTATTGAGCCGTAGAACTGGTTGGTGACCTACTTACCAGCCCTATGGTCTCTATAAGGAGTAAAAAATATAAAATAGTCGACCCATTTTGTATTCCAAAACTGAAATTGTTTTTAGATTATTAGGGGTGTAGGCTACTTATTCATACTTGTTCGAGAATTATTTTTTTTTTGGCCTTGGTAGCCAATCTCTGTGTCTAACAAACATATCCACAAATAAAAACCTCACAATGAAGGTTCATTGTACTCAGCATTTGTTTTTTCATAAGAACGTGTCTTAATACACAACCTCACTTGTTTCTGCGTGATGTTATTACACTATCGTTGCATGGGGTGTGTTGGGGTTGTCAATAAACAGATGGTAATAATTTTCTACATAACGATATCTGTAACGATTGCCGAGATATCGTCAAAATAATTCGCAAATTTATCATGTGTTATGGGGTTGGGTGGGTATAGGGTTGATTGGGTTGAGTGGGGTTGAGGCAATGGAGTGGAAGGGGGGGGGGTAATCACATGTTTTACACCAGCGCAAAAATGTGAAATGAAAAATGTTGTGTTCGTATAGTTATTCTTCTTTGAATACATTTTTAGTGTGTGGGTTATTTTTTTGCTAACTTAGCAAAAGACAAATGCCACAACGAAAAAAAGGAAGAAAAAATATTAGCAGGCACTGATTGTTAATAACAAGATGGATGTCACGCTCTTCCGGGAAAATGGCGGCGAGCTGATAATAATGCAGGAGACGCGGGAATTCTGCAAGAGTTATTGAACTTGTTTGTGAGAAACTTGAACGCAATTCTTCACCCTGCCTGCCTTATATGGGTGGTTTCGAGCATTTCAAAACAACAAAGGGCGATTTTTTTAAAAGCAAAACATGTTCATTTCTATTACCAGTACCCATATACTTCACGTCTATAGCTGGTTATGTATAGTGGGTAGTTCTATGATCGTAGATAGGGCTATGTGGTGCATGTTTGATCTCACACAGTAAAGCATGGTCAGTATTAGTGTAGGGGTCAGAGCAAGTGTTTGGTCAAGAGTATATGTATTTATATTAATAAACAATGATTAAGAACGTTAGGAATACACATTTTCCAGATAGTAAAAATGAAATTCAGCATTTGGTTTATGGTTGGGTGTAGTTCAAGTTACTAGATGTTTTGTCACATGTAGAGATTATAGAGACATTATATATATATATATATATATATATATATATATATATATATATATATATATATATATATATAAAATATATTTAAATATTTTATTATATTTATGTTATATATATATATAATTATATATATATATATATATATATATATATATATATATATATATATATATATATATATATATATATATATATATATATATATACGGTGTATATTGAAATACACACCAATACATACACTGAGAAAAAGTGATTGATTGGACGGATGCTAGTTGAAAGCATTTTCTCCAGGACCAGACCAAACTTCCTCACACGGTGCATCAGAGGGATATCAGTTTCCTGTTTGAGACAACTCTCCCCCTCATCCCCCCCCCCCCATCTGCTGGCATAAACAGACTTGATTCTGGAACTCGACGCGAGAATGTAGGGTAGAGAGCTCAAGGGTCACTCTTAAATACATTTAGAAAATATCTGTATGCCCAGGAGAATGATGTACGAGTTAACTATGCGGGTGCCAGTGTTTCTTTCAGGCATCTCTTCAGGAGTGGGGGAAGGGGAACTTGAACACGTCCACCGCCCCCTGAACCGAAAAACTTAAAAATTTAGTCCTCTCCCCCCCCCCCCTCCCCCCAAAAATTTTAGTTGAATTATGTAAGAGTTAAAATCAATCTAAAGCACCATTTAGTAAAGGCAACTTTTGCCCTATTTTATAGCCTAAAAATCTCATTTTTTGTACAAGCGAGGTTTAATTTTAATTTATATAAAAAGTATTACATTTTGTAGACACGTTTATATTTTTACTTATTAACTTTTTAAAATTCCCGCAAAACATGTACCTATCCTTCACCTCCCCCCCCCCCCCCCCACTGGTCCCTATCCTCCACTTTTTTATAAACTTTTAAAAAATTCATTTATTTCATCCTGCAGTTGAGACCCATGTAAAGTAAATAATTGTAATCGAATTGAAAGAACAGACATTAATACCCGATTCAAGTTTCGTGTAACGACAGACTGTCTGAAATAAGGCAGTGATTAGAGCCCTCGATCAACTCCATGCCACAAATTATTTGTTGCTCATCAAACTCTCGTCTGACTGAATCAGCCTTCGCGGAAAAATAATTACCGAGTTATAATTCGATGTAAAGCGGGGGCTCGGATTTGGATCTGAAAGACTATAATTAGAACAGGGTTAATGGGATTTCCCGATAAAATTACCGACTTGTTTCTTTTCTGCTGTAAAAACAAGAAGTGCAATGTTCACGAAACAAAAGTTGCATTGTTTCTTTAACATTCCGTATTTTTATAATAACCAGTGTTTCTTCCAGACTTTTTTCTTCCCGGTGGGAGGGGGGGGGGGGGCAGAGCCTCCAGAAGAGATGCCTGGAAGTAATTCTGTTTATAACACGCTATTTTAAACAGAGAGTGTTTGTTAACACGAAGGAGGGGTTTAGTTTAAGCCGCTAAAACAATTTGACATGAAAATTCCTTGGTTATTCTTGTGTGATCTAACATAACCAAGGATTTGAATTATATCGTGCAGTAGGTTCGGCAATGTCCTTTTACTTTATATATTGTCTCTATCCGTTATCGATTGTCTCATGACCCCACACCCCCACATTCCCACACACCAGACTCCCACACACATCCATTTTGAATAAGGAAGCTACAAGATTTTAATCTCAGGAAATCCACGCGCAATTATTATTGTATTCGATTTCAAACATCGTTGCGTCTTCTCTCTTCTCCTATTGCATGTACAATTAAAAACATAATCGATTCTGTTTTTTTTTTTGAGTATGCTAACCAAATAAGAGCGAAACATATATATATATATATATATATATATATATATATATATATATATATATATATATATATATATATATATATATATATATATATATATATATATAGGCCCCCCTCCCCCCTCCCCACCTTCCGCCCTCTTCATATTTTTTTCACCACTGTCACCTTTTTCTCTACCCATACTTCATGCTTGTCTCCATAACATGGATTCTTCAATAAAGAGAATAATCTCCCCTGGATTCTTCAATAAAGAGAATAATCTTCCTTGGATTCTTCAATAAAGAGAATAATCTCTCTTGGATTCTTCAATAAAGAGAATAATCTTCCTTGGATTCTTCAATAAAGAGAATAATCTCTCTTGGATTCTTCAATAAAGAGAATAATCTCCCTTTGATTCTTCAATAAAGAGAATAATCTTCCTTTGATTCTTCAATAAAGAGAATAATCTTCCTTGGATTCTTCAATAAAGAGAATAATCTCCCTTGGATTCTTCAATAAAGAGAATAATCTTCCTTGGATTCTTCAATAAAGAGAATAATCTCCCTTGGATTCTTCAATAAAGAGAATAATCTCCCTTTTCTCTCTCAATATCACACAACATCGCCACCCCCTAACCACACCTGCCACCCTCCACCCCCATCCTTATTTCTTCTTCCCCGTTTAACTCAAGTGTTCGACAACACTTTCATCATTAAAAACAACTTGTTCAAAGTGTTCCTCAAATCCTTTTAATTCTCTCTGCATGGCCGTCCATCACAGTTCGAGAACACCATCCATCCACCCACAGCCGTGGAGAAAAGATCACAATTTTTCCGATAGACATAAACAAATATTGCATGCATAAAAAACACGCGAAAGCTATTCTCAGTGCACTAAAAATATTTGTAACGTTGAGCGAGGCAGAAAGAGCAGTCGTTATTTTTTAGATGAAATCCGCTCACATAAATAATACAGCTCATCAAAACAATCGGTGTGACGTGTCATTTACAACCAGGGTTTCTTTCAGACGTTTTTTCTCCAGGGTGGTGAGGTGTGGGGGGGGGGGGGGGGATTTGAAACCTCTTGAGGCACACTTGAAATTTTCAGGGTGATGGTGGAGGGGGGGGGGGGTGGCCACCTATTTAAAAAAAATACTCTCGATATACATTTTTTCGTCTCGTCCGGGGTCGGGGGTCGGGGTGGTGAACATGCTCCGGTAGGGCAGAGCCCTCACCCCCAC